AGCATTTATTTGGCTTGGACTTCTACATCACAGTCCATTATCAATGGAAGACAGGCCAGGAGCTCAAGGCTGGAACCTGGAGGCAGGAGCTGAAGCAGAGACCGCAGAGAAGCACTCGGTGGTACTGGCACATATTCAGCTACCTTTCCGATACAGCCCAGGTCCACCTGCTTAGGGAAAGTATTGCCCAGAATGGACTGGACCCTCCTATACTAATTAACAATTAAGAAATTGCCCCTCACAGACATGACCATAAGCCAATCTGATAGAGACAATTCTTTAATTAAGTTACCTCTCCCGCAGGTGACTCTACATTGTACCAAGTTGACAAAATACTAACCAGCACAGGGGACCATTACCAGACGGTCTCTCTTGGCTGCAACATCATTCTGCCTCTCCCTGTCAATTTTGACTGATTTTTTTTTTCTCTCTCACTCTCTTTTTAAAGGTCGCCTTCTCTTGCTTCTTCTCCTGCACAATAATCTTTGACTGAATGCCAAGCATTGTGAATTGGATCTTGGTGAGTGCTAAATAGTTCTGTGCCATGCAAATGTCTCTGAGTCCTGTTGTGAGATGTAGTTCCGTTACCTGGAAACGGTTTTGTTTTCTTTTCGCATCTCGCTTTGATGGCATCTGAGGAGAGCGGGGCTCTACATGAGACTCCTCTTTCCCTACCAGTAAAGTTAAGACCTTCCCAAGCAGTTCTAACAAAGTCCTCTGACTCTGTTCCCCAGGCGATGTGAGCTTTATCTGTTTTTCTTCTAATACCTTCCAGCAGCCCACCCCCACCCCCACCCACCCACCTGCCAGACAACTCTCTTCTGTGTGTGAAGAGCTCGGTAGTCAGATGAATTCTTAAGGAGGAGCCTCTGCATGCCACTTTGGGCATGCGCTTCTTCCCATTCTGGCATGCTCTACTGTGAGCTACCTTGTTCCTTCCAGACTCTCAGCTCCGTCTCTGCAAATTTAGCAGGTTTTGACAAGCTCCTCCTGGCTTAATCCTCCATGCCCGGAGGCCTCCTTGCAAGGCAATCAACTGGGAAGAGCTAGGGCCACCTCCCTTCAGCCCTGTGCCTCACAGATACCTTGCTGCTCAGTGTCCACTGTCTTAACATTGTTTTATATATATTTGGAGTGGAAGTTAGTTATTTTTTTTCTTAAGGAATTTCTATGTCCTGCTCTTGGGATTAAAACAAATCAATTCCCAATGTGGGCTTTGCTGCTTTCTTATCCCAGGCTAATGAGTCATCTCAGCCAGATAATGCACCCGCACCCTATGGTTACATGTGCAGACTAGTCTGTAACCACTGGGTCCCCCAGGGGAGGTGTGTATGGGGGTGAATCAGTGACAAATATGAGGACGGCCAGCTCCTGAGACCCTCTGTTTAATTCATCTGCACTCTACCCAAAGGACAATCCAAGCCTTCCCCATCCCCCACCCCATCTCCTTCAGCCTTTAGGGCTTGAACTGAGGGAATGGTTGTCGCCTTCCCAGAAAGCAGACACAGGGTTCTTTGCCTCACTGATCACTGGCTGTGACTAGGAGAGGGGTGGGTAGTCAGACATTCTCCATGGAGATGCTGGGGACAAATTCAGACAAAACCTTAGATGACTACCCAATGGAGGAAAGGGTGTGATCAGATTTCCCCTTCAGAATATAAGAGGAACATCCGGAGTATTTTTTGAAATGGCTGCTCAGAGTTATTTTCTTTGGGGGTTATCAATGTGTTAGGTTGAAATGAAGGGTTTTATAGATCATTATAGAATTTCAGACCCACAGCTCATCCATTTTTTTTAATTGTGTGCATGTGCGTGTGCGTGTGTGTGTGTGTGTGTGTCCATGGTGCCTCTGTGACAAGAACAATACACAGAGAGACTGTAGCTTTCAGGGACTTTAAAACCTGTTCCTCAGGAGGTTCTCAACTGCAACACTCTCTCTCTCTCTCAAAAAAAAAAAAAAATCCAAGTACCATTACATGTGGACCAAATCAGAATGTCTGGCAGGAGGAGGCAGACATCAGTAGTTTCCAAGATGGAAAAACTTCATAACTTTCCAATCCAGGGTTTGTCATGTCCTAGCAACGTCACCTTGGGCGAGTTACCCACGTAACCCAAAGCAGCATTGCAGACCCTCTCAGGGGACTGGGGGGACAGCTGGAGAAGGAGCTTCCAGTGAAGAGCCCAGAGCGGTGCCTGTCAGGTAAGGTTAGCTACTGTTATTACTTCATCCCGGCGGAAACCAGGTCCCCCACTAACTTAAGAACTCACAGAGGACGAATGAATGCACCCATCCCCTTAAATTCGCAGGAATAGTGCGGACCTGCTTGGTGCTGATCATGCATTCTTTACCGTCTGCAAAAATCTCCTGGACGGATGTTTGTTGTGGAATATTAGTTTAAGATGCACTACCTTCGTTTATGCTGTGGAACATGTGTTTCACGGTGCAAAGACGTGTTACATTCTTTCATGTTGTATTTATTTAGCTCTGTGAAGCTGTGTTATGCTAATTGGTCTAGTAAAGAGCTGAACGGCCAATAGCAAGGCAGGAGAGAGAAATAGGCTGCCAGATAGAGAGAATAAAGAGGAGAGAGAAGAGGGAGGAGAGAGAAAAGGAGGAGAGGAGGACGCCAGGGGCCAGCCACCCAGCCACACAGCCAGCCACAGAAGAAGAAGGAAAGAAAGGTATACAGAATAGCGAAAGGTAAAAGCCCAGAGGCAAAAGTTAGATGGAATAATTTAAGAAAAACTGGCTAGAGACAAGCCAAGCTAAGACCAGACATTCATAAGTAAAAATAAGTCTCCATGTATTATTTGGGAGCTGGATGACTGGCCCCCAAAGAGAAAAGGAAAAATAAAAACTAAAAAACTACTGATGTTCTAGTCATTTTACAGAACGAAGATTGAAGGGGGATGACTTAGGCTAACCTCACAGAGTTAGTAAATGAGTCTGTATTGCTACAAAACTCCAGTCCTTTATGACAAACAATATTTTGTTTGTAGAAGAAAAAGAAAAAATATTTCCTGTCATCTTCTTACTTCTCACCAGTAAAGATACCCTGAGCTTGTTGCTCTGTAATGGGGAAGAGCTTCTAGAAGCCAAGGCAAACTCTCGTTGTTTCAGACTAGAATAGATACAATTCTAACTGGGACACAGCATCACTGCTAACTTGAAAGGGGGTGACAGTTGGGAAGAAACTCCTCTGCTGGCTGTGTGACCCCTGGCCATTTCCATAACCTTCCTGTGCCTTAGCTTCAACACCACAACAGTGATCCCATCTAGAGGTTTTCGTTTTGTTTTATTTAGGATGAAATAGGCTCAACACACGCTTGGGGCAGCACCTGACACCTAGTGGGTGCTCACTCGAGATGCTTGTTGTCTCTGTGTAGCAGATTCCTCCAGATCGAAAAAAAAAAAATCCTGTGCCGGGGGAAGATCCTCAAGACTCAGGGAGTTCTAAAAGGGGCCCCCTTAAGACTAGGAAAGTATGTAATTCGTAAATCTCAGGAAGGCCCTAAAACTTACCAGATACACAAAGCCTCTCCCTCCCCAAGGTTATGAAAGCACATAAGCAGTAAGACGTGCTGAGGAGAGCCTAGGACCAGCCAAGCGGCCTACAGGAGACTCTTAGGTCTGTAGAGCTGACTGCCAGTTGTGTAGTGAGCTCCTGGTTCCAGCTTTCGTGAGCTGTCAACCATTGTTGGTGTGGTCCTTCAACAAGCATTGCCTTTGAGTTATCCCTTTTCCTGTAAGCAATTCCAATAAACTCATGGATTCATCAAGTTGGGTCTTGGTGGTATTGTTGTTGTGGTCTGTCACATGCTCCCTATCTTGGGCGAATAGACACTTGCTCACATCCCCAGGAATAGTGTCACGCGACAGTTGTCATGGCTACCTAGAGCACCAATGGTCTCTAAAGACTGAGAAGAACAAGTACATTTTAGTAACTTCTTTTTAATACTGGCACTACGAACCCTCACTGACCCTATCCCTTCCAGACTGTGTCTGCATTCAGCGAGTGAAGTTGCGCTGCTCAAAGCAGGGTCACCTTAAATTAGAATACAGTTTTCTTTGTGGTTGTGTGAGGACAAGTGGACGGTGACCTGCCACAGTCAGTCTAGATGTGATTCGGTCTGCAGGCAAGGACAAATCTAGCCGAACCATCACTGAGCCCCCACATACCCTGCCAGGTAAAGTGGCACATGCCTTTAATCCCAGCACTTAGGAGGAAGAAGCAGGTGGATCTCCGGGAGTTTAGGCCAGTCTGGTTTATAGAGTGAGTTCCAGGACAGCTAGGGCAACAGGAAGAGACCCAATCTAGAAAACAAACAAAACCCACATGCCTCTTGGAAGATTATCCCCTGAGTAAGCTTGAGTTGAGCTGCTCTGTATCTGCTTTTCAAATAGTCTCAATCTTTGGACTTCAGTATTCAGCTCTGCATAGCTAACAGAAATCTTAATAAAATGCTACAGTCAGAACACTACCTCCAACTGATAAACAATCAAGTTCAATATTTCAATGGAATTCCTCATGCCCACCATATCTGACCCAGCCTTCAGCAGGAATCCTGTTGTGACAGTCCAGACATAAGCCTCCTTGTTCATCATGTCTCCTCTTAGTAATTTTCCATTTATGGCGCCCCTCTACTCCACACTGTGGATGTCTGTGCTGTGTTCAGAACTGAGCCCAGCTCTACACCAAGCCTTGCTTCCTCCTCTTGCTATAGGCAGTTCCTGCCTTTATGGCATTACCTACTGTCCAGCTGTGGTTCTTCTTTGGGAATGAGCACAAGCATGTGTGTATACATATCTGCACACACACACATGCACACACACACGCACACACATTCCACAGCCCCAGAGACTCTCCCCAGAAACACCTCTGAGCTGAGCTAAGGAATTCTGCTTCAAAGCATGGAACTCCACCCTTCCCACCTGTATCCCCAGCCCCTAATATCTCTGACTACTTTGCACTCCAAACTTCAGTATAAACAGCACCTACTGCAGTCTTCAGGGACCACATCCGACTGAGGAGTCTTGTCCACCAGATTCCGGATCTGAACCAGTGTGTTGCAGGCTTCTTCCATTTCTCTCCAAATGAGAAACACATCCTCTCTGACACCAGCACCTGGAAAGGGAAGCACAACACAAGCAAGCAGCTGAAGCAGGCCCCCCAAACTCTGTGGGATCTTAGCAGTCACGGCACATCAACTCACTGAGGGCATCTCTGAACATCCAGTTACATTTCCCCAACTAGTCTCTTTATGAAAACCAGAACTGGGGTGTTCCCCCCACCAGCACCACTGCCAAGACATGGTAGCACACACCTGTAATCCCAGTGCTCAGGAGGCCAAGGTTCCCAGGAGGACTGCCCCAAGTTCAAAGGCAGCTTAGACTACAGGTCATCAATATTCATACCCAACTGAGAATCCTGAAAGCTGCAATAAAAGCCAGCATGACAAGATATGGCCAAGGGTGCAATAGGAGTAGAAGTGTTATGGGAGTAACTAGTCTCTTTCTATTTGGATGTAGGGTCCGCTCTGCAGAAGGAAACACATGCTTGGTATTGTAAACCTGGCCAAGAATTCATAGCTGAGGAGCTCACAGGCTCGGAGTGAACCTACCGCTTCGATACTGCTAAATGGACCAACACCAAGCTCCCCCTAAATTCACATCTTTAGACTCATAGATTAGTGCAGCTCTCAAACTGCTTGGCAGTTGACAAGGAAACTCCCAACTGGTCACAGTGCAGAGAGTAAGCGTTTACGGAGTGCTCAGCCACAGACAGAGCATCCGTATTCCATCCCGCCCTCCCAGTCTCAGAGACCACTGAAGACGAAGGAGCGGAAGGATATTAAGAGCCAGAAGACAAGGAGGACCTGACAAAAACAGTATCTTCTGGACATGTTAGGGCCACTGCGCTCACCAACTCACAGCAGCCATAGCTACTTTCACAAGACTGTACAAGATCAAACCAGTCAACCCTCTAGCCTGGAGTGGGGAGGAGGCTTGTGAGTCCCTATCCCTAACTGGGAAGTTCTTTGCATTTGCTGGCTTCTACAGGAGGGAAGAGCAGTTTTCTTTAAGGGTGTGGTCCTTGGTAGGTCAGCCACTCTCCAGTGGATGTCCACATACATATGGGTGTAGGGACAGCATAAATTAGATATCAGGGGTTATATAAAGAATGAAAAAAAAGACACAAAGGTGGAAGGAGGTGTGAGAGCTGGATGTGGGATTTCCCTCTGTATGCTATGATTACCATTAATGAATAAAGAAACTGCTTTGGACCTACAGCAGGGCAGAACTTAGCTAGGCAGGGAAAATTAAATGGAATGCTGGAAGAAAGAAGGTCGGAGTCAGAGAGAAGCCATGGAGCTGCCACCAGAGACAGATGTGCTGAAATTTTGCTGGTAGGCCACGACTTCATGGTGATGCACAGATTAATGGAGACGGGTTAAATTAATATGTAAGAGTTAGCCAATTAGAAGCTAGAGCTAATGGGCCAAGCAGTGATTTAATTACTACAGTTTCTTTGTGGTTATTTTGAGTCTAACCTAGCTGAGCGGCTGGGAACCAACAAGCGAACCCCCTCTGACAAGAGCTGGATGGTAGGATGGATCCTGGAGGAGCTGGGGGGATGAATGAGGTGAAGATCATCACAATACATGGATGCACGCATGAAATCCTCAAAGAATTAATCAAAGTATTCCATATTTTTAAAAACCAAGATCAAGTCAAAGAAAGAAAGAAAGAAATAAAGGAAGGAAGGAAGGAAGGGAGGGAGGAAGGAAGGAAGGAAGGAAGGAAGGAAGGAAGGAAGGAAGAAAGAAAGAAAGAAAGAAAGAAAGAAAGAAAGAAAGAAAGAAAGAAAGATGTCCCCCAGAGAAATGCTGCTACCTCCATGAGCCACACGTGCAGTGTTGGGATGCACCCAGTGCCTGTAAATATTGTAGCAGCCAGAACAGCTTAATGTAAAAGATACACGATCCTTCGGTAAGATACAGGAAGAAAGCAGAAGCGTCTCATGAAAGCCACATGAGTGGAACTGAGTCGTCTATGGCAGCAGCATCCCTGCTCCTCCCTGCTGTAGCGGAGGTGTCCAGCCGCCTTGAAACCACTTGCACTAGTCTTTCCTTTGCTCTAAGGTAGCAACGGTTGCTCGGCCTTCTTTTCTGCACGTCTGCTGTCTTAGTGCAGGGTGAGGTTTGGTTGCATGGCATTTCTGAAATGATATGGTTCATACAGACTTTTGTGTCTTCGTGGTCCAGGTCTGGGACGACAAGGTGCTGTCACCAAGATTCAGGCCTTCGAAGGCCTTCCCTAGAGGTCAAAGAGGCCTAGGAGCAGGAGGGAAATGGTCACGGCAGTGAAAACACAGCATCATTTCTTTTATTTGGAGATTTAAAAATAGTATGTGGTTGAGTGTTTTTGCCTGTGTGTTAGTGCACCTCCTGCACACAGTGTCCTTGGAGGCCAGGAAAGGATGCTTGATCCCTTGGAACTGGAGTTACACATGGTTGTTAAACACCGTGTGGGTGCTGGGAATTGAACCCGGGTCTTCTGGGAAGAACAGTCGGTACTCTTAACCACTGAGCCATCTTTCCAGCCCAACATAAGAGACCTTAAGTGTATCAAATTAAAAATCCCAGCTGTGGCAACTCCTGTAACTTTTGCAGGATGAAGCCCTCTAAATGGTACTTCACATGTCTGTATTTCTCCTAACTATGCCAATCTACAATTATTTCAAGAATAATTTAAAAATAAAAGTCAAGGCCCACAGTTTATCTTGTTGCCGTATCACCCAGCATATCCCCGTCCTAAAGTCACACTAGATTCAAGGTGGCTTCTAGAATGACAGGCAGCACATCCTGACTACAGTTCAGAGGCAGGACAACTATCCCCTAGAGAGTCACTCACTCTCGGGCACCATTCCCTGAAGTTTTACACAGCAGCCTCACTACGTACCTGTGGCCAGAGCCTCATCGCAGGGCACTGTCCGACTCCACTAGAAACCGAGTGCACTGTGGCCCTAAGAAAAGCTCAAGTTCTGTCCTAAGAGGGAGAAGACCTAGGTGGCAACTGGCAGCCTCTGCCATATCTACTGAGACCTGTTCCTATGCCGAGTTTGACGGCTCTACTCCTCCTCACGAGAGGGCAGGGTGGAGTCTTCATACCCCCTTTTAGTCAGAAACCTCAGTCATGTTTCCTTCGAGGACTAATTGGGGGTGCTAAGGAAATGCCTCCGTGGCTAAAGAGCTTGCTGTGGGGTTTGACCCCACAGTGCATATAAATCTGGACACCGTCGTGCATGTCTGTAGTCTGGGTGCTGCTAAGGCAAAACGAAGGGCAGAGACAGGAGGGGCCCAGAAGTCAGGAGCCCAGGCGGTCTGGCGCACAGAGTAGCAACAACAAAGAGACCCTGGCAAAAATAGTTGGGAGGCAAAGAGTAACACGGGTTATTTATTCTCTGACCTGCACATGTGTGCTTGCTTACACAGGTGAACATGTACATACATGCAAACACATACACACACCAAAAAAGGGGGGAGGGGTGAACAAAGAATAAAAGGAAGGGCAATTGCTGGAGACCTTACATACCAGGCTGTCTTTTGGGTCACCAAGCAGTTTCCAAACCGTGACAAGGAGACTACTTATTAGTCAAAAACACTAGACCTAGCTTAGGCTCGTTTCTGGCTAGCTCCTTTAACTTAAATTAACCTATTTTTTTCTTTATTTATCCTTTGCCTCGGGGCTTTTTACTTTTCTTTCCTTCTGTATATCTTACTTTCATTGCTTCTTGTGTCTGACTGGCTGGCAACTGCCTGGCTTCTTGCCCTGAGCATGTCCCTCCCTCTCTTTTTTTCCCCTTCTCCTTCTCTCGTTCCTCCTTCAAGCCTAGATTTCTCTTCCTATTTATTCTCTCTGCCTGTCAGCCTCACCTATCCCTCTACTGCTTCGCTCTTGGCCATTCAGCTCTTCATTAGACCAATCAGATGCCTTAGGCGGGCAAGGTGAAGCAAATGGAACATACCTTTACCTACAGATCCACGCTGAACCCACAAACCACCTTCTATTCTGACGAAATATACTGTGTTGGCTCAGAGGCCACTGGTGATGCTATCATGAATCAACAGAGGAGTCAAACTGTCAGATAACAAATACCTTTGCAGGACACCTGCCTGGTCTTTTTGATCAGGAACTCTAGCAAAGGGGCTTAGTTAGACATCTGAGAGTTAGAGTTGAGTGAGAGAAAGGCTCCCTAGAAATGCAAGGGGACAGAGGAGAGGAGGCACAGGAAACCTCTGTGGGTTCTGCGAATTGGTAATTCACCAGTCTAAGCCAGAGAAGACAAATCCACACGGTGTCCTGTGTCCTGATCACTGAGGACTAGCCCAGTTGAGGCCAGCCTCACCCAGAAACAGTGTATCCAGCTCATAGAAATATCCCAGAGGGCTCAAAGAGCCTTCTGCCCAAACAGCCCTCATTGCACCGACCTCTGACCTCGGAGTAGCAATCTGGAGCTCATATTAAAACATGAGTATCACCTGGAAGAAATAGCATATGAAGCTGCCCTTTTAGATGACTTTGTGTTTCAGAATTCCTATGTATCTTTACATTTTATCTCACCACAATCCTGAAGGCAAATTCTGTTCACTATTTACATCTGGGTAAATGGAGGCTGGGGGGGGGAGGCTGTCAAGGATCAAACCAGAGTGGCACAGCTAGATGACACAACTTGGCTGGCTTGTTGGATTTCCCTAGAAATGGGCCCTGGAGTCCACTCCCCAAAGTGTACACTGGCCACTTCTGTCTACATCATAGTTGACAGAAACGCAAGATTCTATAACCAGGGATGGAGACTGGCCACCACTCAGTCTCTGGGCACCCTACGTGACTTCTCCACTCAGACCGAAGGCCTGGCGTGAAGCCATCAAGACAGATTTGTGAAATGCAGCCAAGAAGGGCAGAACAGATGCAAAGGGACACTAGGGTCCTGGCTTTTTCTTAGGGAATGAGATGGAGGAAGATGGCATTAATGGCTCTCATCCCGATGAAATGAGTGGCAAGTCTTGACAGAGGTCAGCACAGAGGTCAGCACAGCTGTGCAGCGATTTCTAGCTCAAGGAG